AAAACCTTTACACTCGATGAACAAACTGAGAGTTCCATTTATTCGAGATGGACTCGTTAATAGTGGTGCTGTAGGTGTTGAAAAAATGCAATAATTCATCAACTTTAAAGCATCTTTCTATATTGGATGTAGGATGTGGAGGTACATTTTCAAATAATTGTTAATAAGTATATAATATAAAAAACAGCTGCCAATTACTTGGAGATCAGAACCTCCTCACCGTAGTAAATCTCGACGTGTGGTGGCGTTTATAATAAAAGTATTTTTTGAAGTTTCAAAAAAGTCACATTTTTTGACATTTCAAAAAAGTCACATTTTGACATTTCAAAAAAGTCACGGTGGAATGTCACTAATATTTTTTTTAGACATTGGGACCGATTTTGCTCATCAATGAACTCAATCTCTTCCTTGACCTCTAGAATGTGTATACCAAATATGAAAGCTTTATCTCAAAAACTGTAGCTGCTATCGCGAACCAGACAGACACACAGACAGAAAATTTTTTCTGTCTGAAATTTTGTATATCGTCATAATTTGTCGAGATTCGTCCAGAAATGCATTAAAAATTTTCAAAATTTTTTCACGAATACATACCACTTCCTCATTTGAGGCGTGAAGAAGTAAAATCAAGAATAATAGAATAATTTTCTGTTTGTATATCCTACAGAATTTCTTGAAAATAATCAAACTGATTTATTTTTTGGCACCACTAGTCTTGAGTTCCTTAATGAGGAACAAACATGCAAAAGCTGATAAATCCAATTTTACTAATTTGTGGAAAATTGCCAAAAACTTGCAGTCGATAAAATTAATCTATGAAAACCTCATGTCGATAGCTTTTTCAAAAGTTCAAAATATAACGCCACCTTGTATACATAAAAATAAATAAACAAAATAATAACATGTACAAATAAATTTGTTTAACTGAAAACTGATCAGATATTCATAGTGAAGCTCCTTTTATAATAAGTAATATTTTAATTATATTTTGGGACAGTAACATTATCTTTTAATTGTGTTTAATTTATTGTCAAAAGAAGGAGAAATTTGTTATATTTTTTATTTTCTTTTTTTATGGTGTTTCTTAGTTATTTTATTAAACAGAATAGTTGATAATATGTTTATTTTTCCCCCCCTTGTAATGCAGTAGGCAGGCCCGCGCTGTACATAAGGGCAAAGTCATGAGGGCGCTGAGGCATCGAGGGCGTCAAAAAGGTAAAAAGATAAAAAAGACACCCCACAAGAATTATCTCATCACACCATAAATTGACATTAAGTTTGATGTTAATTTTCTTCTGAATCGTTTGTTCGATTTGGATGATTTTTTTTTTTTTTTGAAGATAGGTTGAATATTTGAGAATGTTACTGTCTACTTATTTTTTATTAAAAATCCATTTTTAAACAAATACCGTGTGTTACTATGATATTGGGTTGTGGTCCAACAATTCCTGGGATTTTCGGTATCAAAATATCACCTGATTTCCAGAATGTCCAGTTTCGGGATTACAAATACATAATCAATTGTTTGTATATGTATTACTTATAATCATAAATATTATTAATCATCCATAAATCCTTTTGTTCTATTTTTTTTTAAGGAGGAATTTTATCAGAGCCATTAGCTAGATTAGGATCCAATATTACAGGAATTGATGCAAATTCAGATGTACTTCAAGTTGCAAAATCTCATGCCGAATTAAATAATCTCGAAATAAAATATGTAACTTCCTCAATTGAAGAACATGCATCAGAAAATGTAGAAAAATATGACGCAGTTGTAGCTTCAGAAATTATAGAACATGTCACTAAAAAAGAACAATTCCTAGAAGCTTGTATCAAATGCCTTAAACCCACAGGATCTATTTTTATAACAACCTTGAACAAAACATTTCTAGCAAATTTTACAACAATATTTTTAGGAGAAAATGTAATAAATTTGTTACCAAAAGGAACACATCAATTTGAAAAATTTATAGAACCAGTTAAACTTCAAAGAACATTAGAGGATTGTAAGTATTTGTTTGGTAGAATAGTTTAATGAAGATTTTCATCATAGGACTAAAATTCAAAACTTTGTTATTATTTTTTCACCCCTTTATTGGGCTCAAAAAAGTTCGAAAAAATTTAGTGAGCTTAGATTTTCAAATACTATTGGATAAGAAAATAAAAAAAGCTGTTGGCTAAAAGCATCGCAAGAATTGTTTATTCTGATAAAAGTAATTTTAATTTATGGTATTCCACAAGGACCGATTCTGGGGGCTTATTTATTCTTGTTATTTTTAAAATCATATCAGCAAATTACCAATATCTGGAACGTTTCCAGTTTGCCAATGATACTACTACTGATGTAATAAATATGCTCAAATATTACATTAATTATTAGAGATCGGAAGGGAAGGTCAATTCCAGGGTTGACGTTAGTGATGTATCACCGCACCAATATGTTCATGTATATGTGACAAAATATCTTGCCATGTGGTTATTTTTGCCACCTCGGTTACTTCCAAAGTTAATATGAAAATGGCTCAAATTGGTGAATATAATACTAACACACACATGTATATATTTATAACTGGTGATCACAATAGGACAATGGTAATGGTAATGGTGGGGGAGGCTGACGCCTGGCAAGTAGGCTGCAGACGGGCCCTCTTTACCAACCCCCAGTTGTCCACTCAGCCATGTGCTGCTCTTGTTCCCTCGTCTGATCTTTCTGACCTTCTAATGAAGGTCAGGATGTCACTCATTGCGAAGGAGCTCATCTCCTCCCTTAGAAGCATCCCAGAATCAAAGACACTATGTCTCAGGTGCCCAAATGCCTCACACTATCCCAGGAAGTGGTAAGATGTTTCTTCACCACTCCCGCATCCTGGACATGTAGGATCTTCCTCAATACCTATCAATGATAGATGCCTCCTAAGTCTGCAGTGGCCTGTCAGAACTCCGATTAAAAGATTCAGTGTCTTCCGACTCCAGCCCAGTAACCAGGACGATCTCGATTTATTCGGCCCCGTCACAAAATCTCGGGTTTGCCTGAAGGCACTGTTGGTGTTCCAATTTGTCCTCAGTGTCTCGTGGACCCACTCATTGAGGGCCTTGTGACCTTCTTGTAATGCCTAACATAGGTTCAGGCCCGAGACAGGGTTCCTCGGCTCCAAGTCAAGCCGATTCATCGGTCTTCTTGTTGCCTGGAACTCTGGTATGTCCTGGGACCCACACCAGTCTCACTTGTTTTTGCCTGACAAGCTCTTCTAGGGCAAGAACTACTCTCATCCTGGGGGAGCAGCCTGGCTATCGGAGCAGATGTATACCATCGGTTCCAACACATTCCTAACCGCTAGGATGGCGTAAACATCTGCCTAGAAGACCGTGGTGTAGAATCTAGAGCAAAGCTCTGATCATAAGAGGCTTATGCCAAAAATTCACCCAAAAGTTTGTTTTTAGACGTATTTTAATAAAAAAAAAATTTTTTTATCTTGCAATGGACCAGCTCCTATGATCATTTAAGATTATATTAACTGTGGGTTCTTGACAGATCATTTTAATAACAAATTTTATTATGTGAAACAGAATACAAACTATCTGCAACTCTCCAAACTTTAACACTGCGGGAACCGCACAATGAGCGTAAATATAAGCCAAGTTATTATTTAATTTATGAATTAAAAAATTAGCCCTCAGATGGCAAAACTGGAATAACGCAAAATTAATTTCTCTCAAATAGTTAATTTTTTACCTTAAGTGTGTAGTGTGTATTATTTTGGTCCTGAATATGCATAGAACACAGTTAGTACCAAAAATTATTGCAAATGTTTGTGCATGGTGTCCAATATAAATGTAAACCCTACTATATTCCACATAAATCAGTCGTTTTAAGTGTTACAATAAAGTATCTGCGTTAAATACAAGGATATTCTACTCTAATTTTTTTATCGGGTGTCATATACAGGGTGCATTAAAAAGGAGAGCAGTAGAGCAATAAAACAAGAGGCTGAATATTAAAGATGGTTTAAGTACATCATTTTCTACGCCAAATAATAAACGTGAAAACCTAAAAAATAAAACAACTTTTGAGGACTTTGATCCCTGTTTAACACATAGTAGAACAACAATACACGAATTTCACATAAAAAAAAAAAATACCCACATTATGTCTTAGAATAGAAAAGAGTTGCAAAAAATTGGATTCTGATGGAAAAAAAATGAGAAATAAGAGAAATATTCTTATGGAAAAACAAGTTATAAGGTATTACGAATCTTGCCTCTGATAATGATTACATTACTAAAATATTTATATTTATCCTTATGTTACATAATAGCTTACCCACGTTATTCCTGAGGATTAACAATAATCACCTATATTTTTGCACGAGGCAGATAGTTGCAGCGATTCGTTAAACTGGTATTTCCTAAAGATGTGACCGACACATTAAAATAAGATTCATGACATACTCTCATGTGCACCTGATTATGTAATCAGATTGTAAAAAATTGAAGTAATAGTAGGGTATTTAAATAAGTAGATTTTTTCAACCCCAAAGGGATTATAACAAATAACTACAATATGCAGTTTACAGCTTAAAGCGAGGACAATAATCCCCCTATAATTGAATCTCCATTTCTCTTACCGTTTCTTTTTGTAAGAGTAGGAAAATTTACATTTAGCTGTAAATTAATAACATAAATGTTCTGCATTTTCATTCACTTTTGAAACACCATATTGCAACCAAAGTAAATTAATGTGTGTTCTAAGATGTATTCGAACGATAATACATCTGAATAGCCATTATAATGCTAAATTTGAGATGTCTACAAAAATATCGAAAAATGCAATTATGCGCACGTTTTTCCAATTCTAAACCACTGCGTCGGTCAGTAGGTAATTGTTTTTTATATCTGCAAGACGTCCAATTACTTGATAACCTTTAATTTTTTGTTCCCATTTTTTTTAAGAAGACAGATTCATTGCATAGTACATAAGAATATTTTATCATTTCATATTGTTGGTGGTCGAGTGGCAAGGACACTTGCCTCTCACCCTGGAATCCTGGGTTCGGTTCCCGGTCGAAGAGCTAGAATTTTTTCTAAATTAGAAATTAATCCTAGCATACTCGGACATTCGGTGTGTGTCCATTGCCTCTAAATGTGTAGCCCTCTCCCATACAAGGTACCTTCAGGGATACAGGAGGTTGTATTACCTGTGGTGTTTAAATAATTAATTAATTGTTTGGGAATTTCATTAGGTGTACAATATAATACATTAGGTGTTTACAGTATAATATTATATCTACGTATAAATGGATAACGCTTATCTAAAAGGAACCAAGTGCCAAAATGGCAAAAATGAGTTAATCATACCAAACAACTTGAATATCTATTTACTACGTTTGTGTGTAAATAGATTTTTTTTTTAAATAATTGTATAAAAATTGTAAAATTGGTAGAAATATACCAAAAAAATATTTCAAGACTGCTTCTTCAGTAAGTGTAGTATTATGTGTATTTTTGCATATTATAATTTATTTTTACTTACTGTGTTCATGTTTTATCTGCCAACAATTCTGACATGGTTATTTATGATGAAAATAAGGGGGAGGCAAAATTTTCATAATTATATTTGCAGTACAACTTGCAATATTAAAACAGAGTTTCTCTAAAATGTGTAAATGCCACTTGGTTCCTTTTAGATAAGCGGTATCCAAATCATCTCTAGAATTTTTCGCTACCTCCCGATCTCTACTCTTTATTTTTTTTTTTCAGATAACTGTAGAACAGAACTTCTTCATGGAATGTTTTATAATGTTTTCACAAATTCTTGGCACTGGTGTTCAAATACATCAGTAAATTATGCAATACATGCAGTTAAACTGAAACATTGCAAATAACATTTGTTGCTGAAACAGTCTATTTTTTTACAATTTAACATTCTTGGTATTTGAAAAACGTGATAGGAAATAAAAACCACTTTCATTATGTTTGTAACTTGTTATATTGTTTGGATAATAAAACTTTGTATATATTATATATATATGTAGATTCATTTAATTGTTGCTGGATGACATAGAGAGTCGCAGCATCCTGGGAATGCCTTGGGATACTATGCCGGCCATGACCAACTACGAGCTGACCTTCAACATTCTTTCTCCGGAAAGAGATGAGAATAAAGTCGACCTACTGAGAGCAGGCAGTTGCTGGTTTACAGACAGCTCCAAAACTCCCGAAGCACATAGCTACAGACCAAAGGTGAGGATATCCTCAAGCTTAGGTACTAATGCAACTATTTTTCAGCCCGATGTTCATACCATTGAACTGTGTGTGCAAAGGCTGGAATATATGCATCTTACACGCAGATCAATACAAATTTTCTCAGATAGCCAAGCAGCTATAAAAACTCTTATCTCCTATTGGTGTAACTCGAAAACGGTATAGAACTGTCAGAAAGCTCTAAATTGTTTGAGCAAAAACAACAAAGTAACTCTGGTATGGAAGGTAACGAAATAGCCGACTCTTTAGCCAGAGAAGTAGTGGTATCATGAATAACAGACCAGAACTGATACTTGGCATATATATCTTCAGATACTACTAAGATGGCCATTTCAACCTGTGCTGAGACCAAAACTCTCCAGAATTAGTCCATTCAAAGGCATTAATAAAATATCCTTTGAAATCGATTGCCAAGAAACTTTAAGAGTTAAACAGGGTAAACCTGAAAACCCCAACAGGCCTATATACCGGGCACTGGCGACTAAATTATCATCTGTATAAACTAGGCCTAGCGGAAAATGCCAAGTACCGTGCCTGGAGCATGATGAGAAGGCAGACCACGTCTTATGCACTTGTCCTGCTGTGGAGAGGATCCGATTCTTAATATTTGGCAAAGGACAAGTTTCATTAAGAAGCTGAACTTATTGGGTTAAATATAATTAGGAGTAAGCCACAATAGGTCTGCTGATAGCCTCAGTGGTGGGTCCACAAGGACAGACTCACAAAAAACCGATCACCTATTCATTCCATTATTATATTTATGCAGTTTCAAGTGTAAAATTACCTATAATACCCTTGTTTAAACCAGAATAAAAATAATAATAAACACATCTTTATTTTGTACTTGACATAGTCATCTGTTAAAATTATCTTGAGGGTGTCAAAATACACAAAACATCAACGAATCAAAATTTGGTTTTCTCCTTTCTACTGACCTTACCCCAATTAATTTAAAAATGTATGTTAATAATACAACTAGATGAAAACAGATGGGGCCACTCTTGTTCAAGATCTACTCAACGGTGAAAACAGAAATCCACTATGTACGGGGTTTTTCCTTTAAAACCATGCCCCCCATATCCATAAATTTTTTCAATTTAAATTTTTCCAAAAATTAATTCTAAGGATTTTTTAAAATATGCCATTACATTTTTTTCTATCGCAAATGAAACATGAGATGCATAAAAAAAGTTGTGTTTATTTCATAGAACAGCCTATATCTATTTACAAATTTTAATTTTTAGTGTGTTTCTGATTATAATGGTATATAGTTCATTCCATATAAGGAGAACGATTTCGACAGATGACATCGTGAGCAGATCATATACTTACAAATATATTATCCCTAGGCCGTACATGAAGGAGGAACTTGCTGGCATATGAATATGACCAGACACGAATAATTGACGTTTGTTGTCATAATTGTCATTTTCGCCCATGTTTCTTGGTTATTTTTTAAAAGTTATCAATTTGGTAGTGTTTTTGGATATTTTGTAGTATTTATAAGTTTGTGTGTGTGCGCGTTATAAATATAATGGATATAGAGCAAGAAAACTGTGACAATGATATAAAGAATAATCATAACGAGAAACATGATCACTCTGATAATGTAAGCATTTCAAATGAAATGTAAATGACGCTTTACGGTTTGAAATTTTCATTGCCGGCAACAAAATTATTCTTGCGCATTACTGCGTATTTTGAACAGCTGTGGCTCAAAACACGTAGTAATGCGCAGACACCAAGAGTAATTTAATATTTCATTGCCTCGGCATTTCAAATGCAATTGAAAACTGTAAAGCGGCTTTTATGCGTCATAAAACTGCTATCAATTTCCATTTAAATATTTGCATTCTATAAATCTCACGCAAATACAAGTATTTTAAAAATACAACAATTCTTTTTGCATGTACCGTAAAACCTAAATTGGGACAGTACTGTAACTTAGGACAATCCTGTTTTACAAATTAAATTTGACACTCCTATCATCTCTACTTGAGCAGCGAACTCAATTACTTCTCATATATATAATTTAGGAGGAAATTAGTTTACTAGATTTTAAAATCTGTATCTTTTGAGTACTTGTAAGTCAAACTTTTGAAAAAGATTTATTATTTACTATTAAACATTTTTTTTCGGACTCAAAATTTTTCTGCCAAGAAAAAGTAGCCAAAATTTATGTATACACATTATTGCCAAAATTTACAGAAATCAATTATGATAAATTTTTACTACACTAAAAAGTGGGTAGGTCAAAATTAAGGACACAAATTGTAGAATAATTAATTATATTGGAAAAATTATTATACAAAATACCATTGACATCTCTATACTAAAAATATAATCTGTATATAACAGAAAATATCAAAACACAGTTTTCACATAATTTTAAAATATATTAACATTAAACATACTAAATGAGAATTTCACACATTATCTCCTTGTGTGATTACTATCTTCAAATCAATAAAATTTTGACAGAAAATCAAGCTTATGTTAAAAAAAATGCTTTAAAAAAAAATCAAATAAAAAATCTACAAGCTGTGGGGAATCATAGGACAAAGCATTTATAGCTAGTCATATGTCAAAAAATACTTTAAATGTATTGATTATATTAAATATTTACTCTTTAGCAGGAACTTCGATAACTCGGGGTTTGTCAATGATACGAGCTGTTCGGTTGCCTTTCTCTACGATCCCTATAATCCATGCTTGGTACCCTTCCTGCTGTTCAATATCTTTACAATAAGCTGCCGCTTGCTCACGAGGTAAACAGATCAATAGTCCTCCAGAAGTCTCTGCTGAATGTCCTTGTAAAAGCTGGAACATATTTCCGCACGCTTTTGCTACAGCCGCCATCTTGGCTATAACAGGAAGATTGTGGATGACAAAGGATACTTCATTCTTTTGATGAGAGGCCAGTGTTTGTGCATGGCCTAATAAACCAAAGCCAGTTATATCTGTAGCACCATGAGCATTATATTTATGCATTAACCTGCTGGCAATTCGGTTCAATCTGGCCATTGAATCCATGGCACGGTGGTAGGCTTTTCGTACGTCTTCTTCGCTGACGACAAGCTTAATTCTGTTCCAACGTTCAGGCTGGTCTAACCATTGATGGGCATTAACGGCCACCTGTAAAAACGTTAAATAAATAATTAAATAAGCATATACGTGATTCGTTACATCTATTTATCACTAATGAGAACAAAAGAACCCACCTGTGTACCTAGAGGTTTAGTAAGCACAAGCACATCTCCAACTACAGCATTATCTGGAACGATATATTCATTGGGCTGACAGACTGTCGTAGCAACGCCACCTATAGTGCACCAAGGGTTCACCACGGTTTGTCCGCCTGTCACCGTTGTGCCAGCTTCTAAAGCAGAATCTTTGAATCCACGCATGATAAGAGGGATAACCACATCCCGTTCCTTTTCTGTCATTTTTGTACTAACTCCCAATAACATAAGCATGTTGTCACATTCTGTTACGCCCATTGCATATAAGTCACTTAATACATTGGCACATGCTATTTTTCCCATCATGTATGGGTCATCTACAAGAGGGTAGAAGAAATCTGTAGTCTGGACAAGGCACAAACCACCATGGCGAAGAGGTGTCACCTAAAATTTCAAATAGAAAACTGAAAATTCTATTAACCCACATTTTGTACATAAATAAATCAAACAGCAAATTTATTCATGTTCAAGAGAAGTATCTCTATCGTAATTTTAACATATGATTTTTAAAAACAATTTATCTCATTTGAAATATAATATAAATATGCCCCAACAAATGGGTTCTA